TTAATTATTGTTCGAGGACAAACAAGTTTAAGTTGGGGAGATTTAATAAGTGCTAAATTGTGTTGATTTTTGAGTGTGAATAATTGGCACTTATTGACTTAATTTGTTGGTTTTCCATTAATGATCCCCCGTTTTTATGTATTTATTGTATCGTTTACATTATAGCGTATATATTGTGTATCATATAAATATGATTGACTTTAATTGTTTCTCTCTCATTTTTTAGGTATAAAAATAAGGATTTTTGTCATTGTCTTATAGAGCATTGAATAAGCTTTCCAACACTTCCGACCGCGTGTAAAATGAAGTTACGGTTTAAAAGTTATGGTCGAAACAAGTGTTGGTCTACTGTCATGTTCGTTGTGCGAACTGGAGCCGGGCGAACTCGCCAAGAGTTCGCACTGCGAACTCAAGGCGAATAAAAATTTCTCGAAAGCATGGAAAACACTGTTTTGGCAGTAGCTAAGGTGACATATGTTCGTTGGGCGAACGGAAGTTCACAATGCGAACACGGGAACCCGTTTTTTTTCCTATTTAAGTCACTTTTCAACATTTTTTAGGTGATGTTGCTGGGAACTTTTTACCCCAACTTCATCAAAAACATTCTTGAGTATATTTAGCTTAGAAACAACATTAGAGTGTGCATCTTGACGATTCGGAGTCGAATTCACTTCAATCGGAGTTGACAGACCGTGAGATTTGTGTTCTTCTTTTTTCTTCTCTTTGTACTCTCTATTTGTTAGGGTTTTGTATGTAAGTTTATCTTGATTGTATGCATATTTATGAATCTTTGTATAAAATCTCTTTTACAACTCTTTATCGATGGTTACCTTGATTTTTTACTTAATGGGTTTGGATTACTATAGACATATATGATTTGAACTCGATCTAAGATGAACATCTATTAGATTTTAAACTCTAGACATAGATTTAGGACTAATATTCATGTGGGTATCGATTCTTAATGCTCCGTGTTGTCGAGTTGCGTGAGACGTCACCGATGAGATGATACGATTGATCTCTCGACTTTGCGTTAGACATAACCTCTGTTGTGAGCGATACGTGATGATATTGACAAGCGATTTAGGTTGAGTGCATTTGATCCATATATTTTTTAGTATATGATGGGTGGAACGAAATACAACTCCTGACGAGTTTTCTCATTTCTTAAGAATATATTTATTTTCTTGTTTTATGTTTTTCCTTTTGCATTTTTATCCCAAACGATTCAAACCCAAGTTTAGAGACGTGGAGATTGTCGAATGACATTCTTTCCCTTGCACTGATCCCTGTGGAGACGACAAAATTGGGTACTTAATATTTTTGCTTGTTGTTTTACCGCTTCAACACAATGTAATAATATACATAAAAAATACAAAGGTTTAATTCATTTTTTAGTCCCTTAAGTTATTTTATTGTTTTTAATTAGTCCCACAATTAAAAAAAAGTTCCAATGTAGTCCTTTAAGGCTACTCCGTTAGCACAATGAATCCCTTTTGTTAGTTTTTTTTTGGAGAAAACGTTAAAACGCGCCTATGTGGCATTATTTGATACTTAGTGACATTGTTTTTATTTTTTTCACCTTATTTTCTTTCTGATGTGTCAATACGAAACATTTGGTGTTGCTCCAATCCTTTTTGTTTTCTTTTTTAGTAACTAATATTCTAAACTCTTCAACTACTCTCAGTACTTCATAATTGCATTTTCATTCCATAAAAAAAAAATCTAGCAGTTGCGAAGAAGAAGACGGTCGTGGTTGAAAGCGACGATAGTTTGAGAAGACGATTGTGGTAGGCACTTATATTGCAATTTCAGGAAGAAGTTTCCTGGTGTTAAATTAAAGGCCTTGATGTGGAAGGCTGCCAATGCTAGTCATTCAAATGCTTAGAAAAAATTATGCGTGAAATAAAAGACGTGAATGAAGAAGCATTCAAGCACCTTTGGAAGATCCCACCTTGGTTATTGAGCAAATCTAGGTTTAGAAATGGTCCAAAGTGTGACAATTTGGAAGACAGCCTGGTAGATCCAAGAAGAAAAGGAACAAAGATGCTAGGAAACAAGTTAGAACTGAGACACAACTCAAAAGGGTCAAATGTGGTATCAAGTGCAACAACAGGTGCCATAAAGATGGTCACAACAAGGCCATTTGCAAGCTTCCTACAACTGCTGATGCTACATCAACACAACCACCAACTATTGTTGCTACACCACCACCACCACCAATTGTTGTCGCTACATCAACACCACCACCAATTGTTGTTGCTACATCAACACAACCACCAACACCAGCTGTTGCTGCATCAAGCCTACCACCAACACTAGTTGCTGCTACATCAAGACAACCAACACCAGTTGCTGCTACATCAAGCCAACCAACACCAGTTGTTGCTACATCAAGTCAATCAACACCATATGGAGGTTCAACTCAGTAAGTGTCCAAAAAAAGAAAGAGACTTCAAAAGAGTCTAAAACCTGTTCTGAGCCAACCATAAGATTATCTTTATCTTTGATGTGTACAAGTTATTTCACTTTTTGCCTATTATGTAGTTTAAGACTAAGGCTTGTAATGTCACTTTTGTTAGATTTCAACTACTGTAACATAGTGACATAAAATGTCTATTCTCTAGTTATGTTTAATGGCTTGCAATGCCACTTTTGTAATGACGTGTAATGTTACTATTGCAACTAATGTTATGGTTTTGTGACTATTGTTATGACCAATTTATGGTGTGCATTTGTACTTGTAAATTTTGGCAAACAAACAAAAGTAACATTTAAGCAACTACATTTCATTGATAAAGTTTGACAAATACATAACAATGTTGACAAACACATACCACAGATACAATTCAACCTCCTTGTTCACAACTACATGTCATTACACAGAAAAACAACTAACCTAAAAAACAATTGTTACAAATAAAACATTACACAATAAGCTCAATATTCCAATGATTACAGACAATTTCAACCATCCCCTAGTGTTGATAATCTCATTCTTCAATCTGTAAATTTTCTTCTTCTGTCTCTGGATCTTCAAATCCATTTCATCAATAATGTCGTCGTCGAACCATTTGAAGAAATTACATCCCTTATTCACATGACTTCTGAAATTTCTGCAACCCCTAAATTTTTTCCCCAAAATTGACACTACTCATGTCACCCACGGTACGAAGCACACATTCATCTTGACAAAAGCACTCCCTCATTTTGTTTCTGCGAATAACCAACTCAGATGTACCAATTGAAGCACTACTTGACATTTTAGACATTGGAGACGAAAAAGAAAGATAAATATTAGAAATGGAGACAAAATGAAAAGAACGGGATGAAGAGAACGAGATCTAGAGAACAAGATGAAAGAAGCTACAAGAAGGAAGATGAATGAACCACGAAGACGAATATGCAGAGAACAAGATGCAAGAAGCTACAATATTTTTTCTGAAACTATTGACATGAAGCAAACATTTAACCCTTTAAAAACTAAATTATTTATTCATTTAGTGACTAGGCATACAGTTGGAACGTCACTCTGGCATTTACTAACGGTCTAACACATGAATGGATTAAACATGTTATCGAATCATTTTTTTTATTAAGGGACTATATCGCAACTCATAAATAACTTACGTGACTTGTGAACTAATTATGCCAAAAACAAAATAGTAGTAAATGTCATACTGGTAAAGTCAATTTGATTACTTACATTTTCTTATAAAATTAAACCTTAACTAGCGTCATTGGTCTATTCAAAATTGACATCTACAATCAATTCCTATTTTAAATCATCGAAAAACAATTATAATTGTATAATCATGACAGATTAATAAATCTCTATTGGATGACAGTGTAAAATCATTTTATACTGATAGTGCATACCAATTAAACTCTCTTTAAAATATCTACTAAATTGCTCAAATATTAATATATTTGTTAAAAATACTCAAAAATGCATCTTCAATTTTTTTTTACTTTAAGATAACACTCATTTACTGTGTCATAAAGTTATGACAGGTGTGTTCAAAATTACACCTCCAATATCTAAAGGATATTTTAGATTTTCCATAAAAAAAAATTCCCTAAAGAATTCTCTAATAATAAAACCACAATACCTTACTATGATGCACCAATGTATTTTCTCTCAAATGAACTATATGGTCTTGACAATAATTTTTTACCCACAATATTCGAGAGAACTTTTTAATTTACATCATAAATTTGAAATAAAATACAGGTACAAAGCTTTTCTTTTCAATTTAATAGAAAATATTTTAAATATTTATACATCTTAAAAAAGAAGATTAATAAATACACATTAACTATGCAGGTAATTATTATTTTTTTTACATATAAGTCCTGCTAAATTACTTAAAAATTAATATTTAAATTTTTTCATGACAATTGGATAATTGTGTAAACTAATTTAGTTTTAATATCTTTTTTAAATTAATTTTTCAATAACAACGGGTTTTGTGCAGCACTTCAGTTAGCACAATATTTAACATTCTTATTTAGGAAATGTAGTTAAATGAAAAATTATTCGTCTTGCATAAAATAGTCAATACTGTATTATTGTAAACAAACTTATAAATGTCATCCATCCATTGTCAGGAAGCAACCCTTGAAGTTACTCAAAAGTATAAACCTGTAAGAAAATTCCAACATTGCAAAACAAGTTTAATACACAAAACCAAAATGTGAATCATTTGATCTTAATGGAATAATCCAAATCCTCAATCCATTTCCAAAAATTATTCACTGAAACACTTGCTCTAAATTCCAAGTGGAGCATCACAAAGTAGACTCGCACAATGTCTTCATGTTTCAACAGAAAACATTGTTCTGTGTTGCAATGGTTGCACCGTTATTTGTGTAACAGACTACTTTCGGCGTACCTCCGAAGTCACTTAAACGAAATATAGCTAACTGAAAATTGATGTAGCTCTAAGAGTTCATGAACAAAACCACAAACAACTCTACACAAGTTTCATCAAATAAGATCATCGCTTTAGTTGCCTTCTAGCCAAGGCAGGGGTTTTCTTAGGGATATAGACCTTGTAGCTAACCTGAACATTCAAAAGCCATTAGCAATAACAATAAAAAGAAGGAATGAATTACATATAGTATGATATGGCTCACCATGATGACACAAATTGCGTAATATATAAAGACAGATTATCACACACTCACCTGCACCAATTCACCACCCCGCATCACAGTCATTGTTTTCTGCTCAAACTGAGAGCCTTGGTTGGATCCATCTTGTAGTTTGCCTGAATTATTTTCTACAGATTCAAGGGTAGCAACATTGCTATCAATATTCTGGATTGAAGATTGTGTTATCTTAGCCACATTCCTTTCTTCATCAGCCTCGCTCACCGGCAATTTTGCATCAGAAGGTTCGCGTGAATCAGATGTTTGCTTAGATTTAAACTGAGAAAGATCATTGGCAGCATCTTTCCCCTTATCCAAGTTATTATGCTTAAATTTAGGTTCAAGAATAGAAGGTTTAGGACCAGCAGAAGGAATGCCTCTTATGTCTTTGACATCATCACTGCCACAGTGACTAGTGATACGAGCAGCTTCAAAAGTACCCGTATTTTTAATGCTTTCCGCCAAAACCAACTTTTCACGAGGAAGTCCGGACACGGCCGTTTGCTTCAGAGATGAGCGACTTTGGAGTGAATCATGGCAAGATTCTGATGGGGTCGATTCCAAATTGCTCTTCTTGTTATTAGTGGATTCAGTGACTACTTCGATATGGCTGTCTGCATCAATCACTTTTTCTGGTGCTCTAGCCATTTGAATCTTAGCAGAACCAGACATTTCTTTATCCGCATTCAAATTCCTTCCATTGTTTTTCGGATAAGTAACTAAATTTCTCCTGCCAACAGGCAAATTAGTTTCTTCTACAGGTGTTTGGTTACCAAATTTTGTTGCTAATATAGCAACATTACTGACATTAGGCTTATCTTGAACCAGTTCCTCTTTATTGGTGACTGGTTGCTTCATTTGGCTGACAATTTTATTTTCCTGTTCAGAAGCTTTTGCATGGGACTGGACTTGACCTCGGAACTTTCTTAAGTTTTCCAAAGCTCTTTGTCTAAGAATTAACTCTAAATCAACATCATTCAGAACACCAGAAACATCATCCTTCTTTATAGATTCATTTGTCCCAGCACAAAGTTCAAGGCTGCTCATATCACTAAGTTTAGGCTCTGTGAAGTTAACATCACCATTCATATCTCCTGTATCATCCTTGGCCCCCAATTCCTCTTCTGGTGCACGATGTGATTGATGATGATCCAACTCCCTGTTTGAGCCACGATCGTTACTGTCGTTACTTCTACAAGGGTAGTCAAGATCATCTACAATTTCCTCTTTGGTTTCATTTCCAGACAATTGCCTAGATTCATCTCCTTCATTTACAACAGTAATAACAGATCGGAGCCACCTCGTTTTGTTCCCGGGCACATATTTCTCTTCAGTCCCTTCAAAATTACATTCACCATGAGGACTACTGCAAGGTGAACAACTCCTAGCCCTATATCTACTACTCTTTGCACTTCCACTTCTTCCCCTCAACCGTCTTTTGTCTTTTTCCTTTGTTTCTGTTCTTCCCCTGGAGTGCTCATATTCAACATTATCATTGCTGTCAATCCCAGCCGGACATATTGAGCAGCTTCGTGATCCACTGCTCACTGAACTAACACTCACTTCTGTCTTAACTTTTTTCTTCCTACGGGATTTCTCCTTTGTCTCATCATACTTGTTTTTCCTCTTCAGCTTTTTTCTCTTCCTGGCAAAGAGAGAGTCCTTACTGCTGTCACTGCTGCATGAACGTCTCCGAAACCTCTTCTTACGACTTTTCACATCTTTTCTTGTGCGAGACCGATCCCTTTTTCTTTTAGACCTATCTTCAGAACTAGAAGACACTGACGTGTCCATATTTTTTGAATCATCATAGTCTGAGCTAGAAAGAGAATCCTCATGGCGGCAAACCTTCTTTGATTTATATTTCCTATTCTTACTTCTACTGCTTGATTTTGACTAGACCACCAAATTGAGTATAAAATAGACACAAATAGGAAAATGCACGTTCAGTTAAATTAATCAACTCAACAAGCTATATACACTGGATAGGTGGGAAAACCCAACAACCAAATCAAATAGAAAAAAAACAACACATTAAGGCCATGTTTGGATAAACAACTTAATTAAGCGTCGATAGTATAAACGCTTCTTATATATGTGCTTATGTGTTTTCATAAGCCATTCTAGAGAGTCGTGTATATAAATAGGCTGAAAACTCATATGAATATGCCATAGGTTGTTTCTTATGTTAATAATCCTAGATAGCACCGCGTAACGCCGACCCCCTAAAATGCAATGGCATTATAGCATATAGCTCCTATTGAAAAGACTAAAAATCAGTGTACAAAGTAAACATAAATACTCAAAAATAGAAATATACGAAAAAGTAAAACGACCATCATAACAAGTTTTTTGGGAGTGCTTATGTAGTAGATAAGTTAAACAAGACAGTACAAACACAATCCAAACAGACCCTAAGACCCAGAAAAATACGTAGCAGCCCACACAACAAAAGGAGATTAAAAAATCGGATATTTTTGTACTGGGGAATATGACTCACATACAAGTTTTCATTCGAGTTCACAAAACAAGCAATATTAGAGAAAGAAAGTTCGATTTTCCCCCCAAAAAAATCAAATGCCAACAACATAGGAAAAAAAATCAGACACAAAAAAAATTGAAAACCTAACTAAAACGAATAAATCTGAAAGTTAAAATTAAACAGCCTGCATTGAAAAAAAAGAGAATAAAATTGAGATTACCTTAGAGGAAGTTTTGGAATGTTTCTTTTTGAGTGAAGTGGAGGATTTCCCCATTAAAGCAACCTGCAAAATCAACTTTGAAAAATAAAAGGGGTTAGAAAATTGATGCGAGAGAAGAAGAGATTGTGTAGTGAAGCGAATAGGGTTAGATGAATTGAGGGAACAAGAATGCAGAGAAAGGTTAGCGAAGAGAAGAAAATCGATTGAGGTATTTTATTCCCCTTTCGAAACTCTATTGCTCGTTATATACTAAATAGAGTAATAACTACTCCCCCTTCACAAGCTGTACGCTTTTTTAATGCGCACATTATAAAAAAAATAACCAAAAATATATTTTATAGAAAGTTTTTATCATACTTAAGATTAAAAATAATATTTTTAAATATTTTTAAATAGTTTTAAAATATGCACATATTTTTTAGTGTGCATACGTTATGGATAGGGCTGGCAATGAACCAAACCAACTCGAAGATAGTTCGAAATTCGACTCGACAATTAAATCGTTGAACTAGGTTCATGAACCAAATGAGTTGAGTATGAGCGAAAAATTAAGTTCGTTAACTAAATGAGCTGAACTTGAACTATACATAGTTCGACTCGTTAGGTTCATGAGTCAACTCGATTACATATAAAAAGAATTATACTGTCTTTAAGATTAGGTTTAAATATTTACTTCAAATCTTAGACAAATTTAATCTTCAATTTAGTAGTTTTTGAATTAGACTCTCAAATGTATCTCTTGAAAGTTGTGTAGGTTTTGAATTAGTAGATTTCGAAGATAAAGTTAAATTTCAATATGATAATTTTTATTTTATTTTAATATTTTATTTAAAAAATATATATTTATTTAAAATGTCAAATATACTAATATATATATATATATATATATATATATATATATATATATATATATATATATATATATATATATATATATATATATATATATATATATATATATATATATATATATATATATATATATATATATATATATATATATATATAATAGTTTTTAAGTTCGTGAACCATGTGAGCTGAACCTAATGAGATGAACCTAACGAGTCGAACCGAACTGCTCGTGAACTTATAACGAGTCGAGTTTGAGCTTAAAAAAAAGTTCGTGTCGAACTCGAACTCGAACTCGAATTCGAACAATTCTTAACGAGTCGAGCCGAGCTGAGGTGAGTTCGACTCAACTCGACTCATTTCCAGCCCTAGTTATGGATGTAAAAAGAAAGCGTTTAAACAGGTATCTGTGCCCGTTTATCCGTCTTTTTTATAAACACACGCGTTAAAATTTAAATGAATTTTTTTTATTTAATTATACTTTAAATTTAAACTTTTTAGGTACTCTCATGTTTGTAAGAAATTTTAAAATATTATTTTTTTAATTAATTAAAAGTTAAATTATTTTTCAAATTAAATGTTTAAGTAATATGACATTTATTTTGCATGTCTCTAACATAAAAAGTAAAAATTGTAAATAAAAAATTAACAATAAAATTCAACTAATTTAAGAAAGTGAATGATCAGTGTTTCAAATTTTTAATAATTCACAATAAATTTTGTTGTTAATATTATTATTCTTTTTTTTCTCATGGTTAAATATGTGTTTAATAAAAGATAAAATATGGAAATCTCTCTTTTTCATGTGTTTTATTTTGTATATATAAGTTGAATGAGTGAGAAGTTACTCAAGCAAATAGATACGGGAGTTATTTAATGTTGTAATTGTCATTGTATGTAATTGTGTATACCTATTCCATTGAAAAAATATTCTCATTTATAATACAGATCAAACACTTTGAAAAATATAACAACAAAATATGTAAATTTAAATTACAACTAATTCAATTATAATCAAACATCAAAGAAGAAAGATTAGAAACAAAAAATTTACCACGACAAAATATCACTAATTATAGTTTGGTATCAGAGCCTGGTTCATGATCCCAATCCGCTGCAACACCAACAATGGCTACCGTTTCCAATGATCGAATTTCCACCAATCTCCCAATTCTTGATTCGAAGAACTACGACAAATGGGTGAAACAAATGAAGGTTATGTTTGGTTATCAAGAGGTTCTTGAGATCGTCATCAATGGAGTTACACCGTTAGGGGCAGATGCTACTGATGCTCGTAGGGCTACACACAAGGAAGAAAAGAAGAAGGATTACAAAGCTCTATTCTTGATTCATTCGTGTGTTGATAACGACAATTTCGAGAAGGTTGGTGATTGTGAATCCGCAAAACAAGCATGGGAAATCTTGGAGAAAGCGTATGTCGATGCTGTCAAAGCGAAGGTGGTAAGGTTACAAACTTACAAACATCAATTTGAGTTAACGCAAATGGAGGACAAAGAAACGATCAACGATTACATAACACGCATTACCCGGCTAGTCAACCAAATCAAGTCATGTGGCGAAACGATCCTTGATCAGAATGTTGTATCGAAAGTGTTGCGTTCGTTAACACCACGTTTCGATAACATTGTTGTGGCTATTGAGGAGTCAAAGGATCTAACAACTTTGAGCAAAGATGAGTTGCAAAGTTCGTTAGAGGCGCATGAACAAAGGATGGATGAGAGAAGTGCCGACAAAGCCAAAGCGGAGATCGCTTTGCAAGCGCGTTTACACGAGAAGAACAAGAGATCAAAAGGGAAGTGGACTTCTAAACATAAGAAGAATTTTGGTGGAAAAGATCCATAAAATTCAAAGGGTGAAGGAAGCTCCAAAGAGGGTAATCAAAGCGCCCACAAACCGTTTGACAAAAGTTCTGTGAAGTGTTATAATTGTCAAAAGCTTGGGCATTTTGTGAAAGAATGTCGCTCAAAACGCAAGGAAAAGGATGCGGATGAGGCTAAGGTTGCTAGGGAAGAGGTAGATGATGAAGATACCCTTCTTGTGATGATTACGGAAGAGAATTATGGCATTGTTGATGTTCCGGGCAGCAGCTACTGTGGTGATAGTCTGCGGGACAGCAGCTGTACAGTTTCAGAAAGTGGTGGAAAAATGCGTTCGGATCGAAATGCATTACTTACCATGCGTGATGGAGTTCAAAGTGAAGATGAATGGTACTTGGATTCCAGTTGTTCAACACATATGATGGGTCAAAAAGATTGGTTTGTGCAAATCAATCAAGCGACAAAGAGTAAAGTCAAGTTTGCCGACGACACTACTTTAAGCGCCGAAGGGGTAGGAGATGTTTTGATCGGAAGGAAGAATGGAGGACATTAGAGGATCAAAGATGTCTTGTACATACCGAGAATTAAGTGCAATCTTTTAAGCATTGGCCAATTACTTGAAAGAGGATACTTAATTCGATTGGAGAATAAGATGTTATGCGTTTTAAATTCAAATGGTGTGTTGATTCTAAAAGCACCTATGGCTGCCAACATAACTTTTAAGGTTGAGTTAAAGGTTATGGAGCATCGTTGTTTAGCTACCGCGGCAAGTAGAGAGGAGTGGCTATGGCATTACCGTCTTGGTCACCTTAATTTTAGGGATCTTAAGATGTTGCAACAAAGTGGAATGGTAACAGGGCTACTACATATTTGTGTTCCGACAGAATTGTGTGAGGAATGTGTCACATCTAAGCAACACAAGAAGGTGTTTAGCAAGGATGCGGGTCGAAGAACCAAAGGTTTACTTGAGGTGGTGTATTCCAATGTTTGTGGACCGATGCAACGATTTTAGTAGGAAGCTTTGGACTTATCTTATCAAGAGAAAGGATGAGGTATTTGGAGTGTTCAAGAGTTTCAAATCTATGGTGCAGCGTCAAAGCGGCCGGAAGCTCAAAATTCTCAAAACAGATGGTGGAGGTGAATATACCTTTAGTGAATTTGGGAAGTTTTGTGATCTTGAGGGTATAGTGCATGAGGTGGTGCCTCCATATACGCCTCAACAAAACGGGGTTGCCGAGAGGAAAATTCGTACAATAATGAACATGGTGCGTAGCATGCTTTGTGGGAAGAAGTTACCTAAAGAATTGTGGGGTGAGGCCGTATCTACAGCCACCTACTTGTTGAATAGGTGTCATACTAAGAAGTTGGAGAAAATCACACCGGAAGAGGTTTGGAGTGGTTTCAAACCAAGTGTGGTTCATTTGCGCATTTTTGGATCGATTGCATATCGTCATGTACCAAATCAACTTAGAAAGAAGTTGGATGATAAAGGTGAGAAGTTGATGTTTGTTGGATATCACACTACTGGTGGTTACAAGCTGTTTGATGAGAAGAATCGGAAGATCGTGATAAGCCGAGACGTGACTTTTGATGAAATCAAAAGTGCAGAAACAACAACATCAGTTTTTTGAAATTTATGATCCAGAGGTGTCTGATGCCGCTGTACCAGCACCTACAGCAGTTGAAAACAATGTTGTGAATGAGGGTAGACCTGTGAGGAATAGAGGTATGCCTCAAAGACTCCGAGATTGTGAACTGTTCCGAGATAGTGAGATCAACAATGATGGTGATCTTATTCATTTCGCTTTAATGGCCGAATCCGAACCGGTAAATACGGAGGAGGCATTAAGCGATCCAAATTGGATGTGTGCAATGAAGGAAGAGCTGAAATCGATTGAGAAGAACAATACGTGGGTGTTGGTTGATTTACCGAAAGGTAAAAAGGCGATTGGTGTGAAATGGGTTTACAAAGTAAAAGCAAATCCGAAAGGCGAGATAATCAAGCATAAGGCTCGATTGGTAGCAAAAGGATTTTTGCAAAAGGAAGGCATAGAATTTGATGAGGTATTCGCACCGGTTGCAAGGCATGAAACCATCCGGTTAGTTGTTGCAATTGCAAATAACAACAGCTGGCCGTTATATCAAATGGACGTCAAATCAGCGTTTTTGAATGGTCCATTGGATGAGGAAGTGTATGTTGGACAACCACCTGGTTTTGTGATACAAAATCAAGAGGAAAGGGTCTACAAATTAAGGAAGGCACTCTATGGTTTGAAACAAGCTCCAAGAGCTTGGAACAAACGCATAGATGGTTTTCTTATCAACATTGGTTTCAAGAAGTGCGTATCCGAACACGGTGTGTATGTG